AGACCAAAGAGGTGTGAGATGCTAAAGCTTCACTATTCAAAGTGGACCAGACTTCATATTATGTAATCGAATGGGGCTCTTTTTCATTTGATTGTCTCTTCAGTTCCTATCTCTACTTTTCTCAACTTCTGTTCTCTCCTCTTTACTAGCATATAGAGAGTCCCTGTTAATAGATCCTGCCCTAAGAGATGTCTGTGTCCAGGGCCGTCTCTAAAGGGAGCACAGGTCCTGGGATTACCCCCACTCCGCTCGCTTTGGAAGGGGCTTTTTAAATTTAAACAGGGAGCTACTCAGGGGAACTCTAACTCCTGCTGTTTCATGTAGCTGGCAGTTTTGGTCCCCAGCCCTGTCAGGCCTTGGCAGCAGTAGGTTCTACTCCCATGAAACCTCCCGTTGTTATGAGCACAGGTTCAACTCCAGACACAAGCAACTCCCAGCATTAGCCACTGTGTTGTCCTGATCTGTTCCAAGCAGGCCTAGCTGACCTTATCTCTGCTGGCATTCCCACCTTTGCTTCCTGCCTTCAGACCTGAGCTAGTGTGTGCAACAAAAGGAAGCTCTAGAGGAAAGTGCAGACACTCCTAGCTGAGGGCCTATTTTATTTTGTAATATAACCATATCTGTAACACGCACACATTGTCCTCCTGGTCTCTCATTGTTCAAGAACGGGAGAAACATACTCGGTTTTAGGGGTTCTCTTGTCTTCCTTTGGGCATGGGAGTCCTAAAACAACAGCCTAGGAAGTGGTCTCTGCACAGCAAGGAGCAATCCAGCTTAAATGTTCAAGGTTGTTCAAGTGACTTAGGAGGCCCTTTTCTGAAGGGGATTTGGCTTTTAACTCCTAAATCACTTAGGCACCCTTGAAAATGTTACCCAGTATGCCTGCATGGACTTGAATAAGGAGGTTGGGTGGGACTGCAGCCTCCTTCTCACACATGGGGTCACCAAATCTGCATAGCAAACCCGGCTTCTTATAGCTGAGTAATGCCCTCCCATAACGAGCGCTTTCTGAAGTAAGTCTGTAAGAGTTCTCTGAGCCGTGAGGAAAGCCACATCTGCACCCAGCCCGGACCAGGACCCAGAGGACTTGGGAGTCTGATTGGGTGGTGCAAACAGACTTTTCTACAATTGGGGACTTAAACTAAGTTTTCCAAAAATTCCCTTCAGCGCAGATCCCCATTCAACAAGAACAAATAGATGTTTTGCAGAGTCTCTGAGGGACGGAGAGACAGACAGGCTTTGCCAACTGGCTTTTGCATCCTCTCCCAAACAGAAGACACTAATTCTTCACACTCTTTGTAGTTAGCCCTGGGCTGTCCTTTGCTTGGGGAGTGAGAGTTAACCCTTTCTGGCTCTGTTAAGTTTCAAGGGAATTTTCCAAGGACAGACAGTGTTTGGTGAATACAAGTAGGTGGTCTGTGCCAAGCCACTGACTCACTGGGTGACCCCGCACTAATTGTGTGCTCCCTCTCCAGGATATTCATTATTGCAGCAGAGGGCACGTTTTTTTGCCAGTGGAGGATCAGGTAGGCTACCTGTGCAAACCCCGGGTTGGCCTTGAATGTGCCAGAAAGGGTATCACCTGCCTGCATCAATATAAAACACATCCAGGAGGCTAAACCACTCAGCACACAGTTAACCTGTGGAACTCCTTGCCAGAGGATGTGGTGAAGGCTTGGATTTTAACAGGGTTCAAAAAGAGCTAGATAGATTCATGGAGGTTAGGTCCATCAATGGCTATTAGCCAGGATGGGTAGGAATGGTGTCCCTAGCCTCTGTTTGTCTGGAAATGGGTGACAGGAGAGGGATCACATGATGATTACCTGTTGTGTTCCCTCCCTCTGGGGCATTTGGTATTGGCCATTGTCAGCAGACAGGATATTTTCTAGATGGTCCGTTGGTCTGACTATTCTTATGTTCTTAATGTAAAGTGGATGGGGAATGGAAAGTAGCCTCCGATGCAGTCTATAGGCCCAATCCAATGCCCACTGGAGTCAATGAAGGACTCCTCTTGCCAAGAACGGGCATTGGATTGGATTCTATGAGAAGAAAAAGCGCTTGTGCAGATTTTACTGCAACCTCGTTCTTCTGAGTCTCAGGAGAGTTGCATGTCACCCCCCCTCCCAAGGAAGATCTCTGGCTTGCTGCAGAGGCTGGAAGGAGTGGAATTTCTCACTGCCTGTATGTAAGTTCACTGATCTGAAAAGTGGGGATGACCCAGATATTTCACAGGGTAGTTGAGGAGGTCAGATATTCAGAGCACGTGTAATACAGAATCCTCACTCGAAATGTGCTATTAAAAACATTTTGTATTATTCCAAGTGCACGTAAGCGAAAGTGGCTCCTTGGGAGAGAAGAGCTTCATGAATTAATAACACATTTGCTTTCATGGCATTTCCCCTTCCTTTTAGGAATTGGCTGCCAAGATTTTCTCATTCCCGTGGAATTCCAGAATCCAAGACAATAAATAATAATGATGGTTGAGGTGGCCTTAGTCACTATGGGTGCATCTATACTACAGCGTTATTTTGGAATAATGACCATTCCGAAATAATAATGCAAACATCTACACAGCAATTCTGTTATTTCAGAATAAATTCAAAATAACAGATGGCTTATTCCGACTTCAGTCGACCTCATTCCACGAGGAATAACACCTATATCGGAATAGCAGTAGTGTGGATGCTCCATTGCTGCTATTTCGAAATAGCTCCTCCCCAAGGCCATTCAGAGTAATTACTCCTCAGTGCCTCCTGGGGCTCTGTATCGAGCTAGTGCATCCACATTAGGGAAGCCTGTCTCAGATTAATTTTGAGGCTTCCCTGTAGTGTAGATGTGTGATTTCGAAATAAGCTATTTTCGAGTATTTCTTCCGGAATAGCTTATTTCAAAATAAGCGTGCAGTGTTAGACGTACTCCTGACGACCAAGGCAGTTAGAACCTTTCAGTTATTTGTTTGAGTTAATTTTGTACATTTTGTACAATTATCCCATGACAGAGGTCCAGATTCTGTGTTCACCACACTTAGGCCACATGCCAGGTAAATAAAGATAGCAACCTCCCAGCTGAGATCAGGACTCACTGTGCGAGGCATTGTGAAAACACACAGTACAGACTCTGCCTCCCCAAAGAGCTTCCAATGCAATTGGTCAAGGCAAAGGATGAAAGGGAAACTGAGGCAGAGAGTGAGAGAATTGTAATGTCTTTCCCAGGGTCACAGCAAGTCACTGGTAAAAGCAGGAAAAGAACACCGGTCTCCCCAATCCAGTGCCCTATCTATTAGAACTTTTGTGAGTTGGGTAACTTGGAATATGTCCATACTGGGAAGTTTTGGTGATGAGAATACTGCCAACATGCAAAAGTTGCCTGAAAGAAAGTTGCTAAATCATGCTTATGCTGCCGTCCTCTGTCGACATATCATGGCCACATTGTTAGCTCCCTGTCAACAGAAAGCAAAACCATGTGGGTAAGCAAACTACAGTGCCTGGTGTCATTTTCAGTCACTAGGCACCGTGGGAAAGCACGATGTAGCGCAAGCCATTTGGGGATCATGAAAAAGTCCCGTCATCCACCTCTTTGCTTCCCAGCCCTCCCAGGGCTTCCGACTTATTTTTGTGCCATTTGAAACTGAGGGTATGTCTACACTGCCACCCTAGTTTGAACTAGGGTGACTAATGTAGGCATTCGAACTTGCAAATGAAGCCCGGGATTTAAATATCCCGGGCTTCATTTGCATGTTCCCGGGTGCTGCCATTTTTAAATGCCTGGTAGTTCGAACTACCTGCCCATGGCTACACGTGGCACGGGCTAGGTAGTTCGAATTAAAGCTCCTAATTCGAACTACCATTACTCCTTCTGCAATGAGGAGTAACGGTGGTTTGATTCGAACTACCTAGCCCGTGCCACGTGTAGCCATGGGCAGGTAGTTCGAACTACCAGGCATTTAAAAATGGCAGCACCCGGGAACATGCAAATGAAGCCCGGGATATTTAAATGCCGGGCTTCATTTGCAAGTTCGAATGCCTACATTAGCCACCCTAGATCGAACTAGGGTGGCTAGTGTAGACATACCCTGACAGTCCTTGTTGTGCACTCCAATATCTGCTGTGAAAAATGATGGATCCCAGACTTCTCTCCCGTGCTGAGTTCGGAATGCTTAGGACACCGCACATTGCAGCAGAGCTACTGTTGAATTTACTCCCAAAGGAAGTCGACTCAAATGCGGACAACAGGGCGAATGACGGACAGCAACAGAACGGTAGCTATCAGGAGTGCCCGCCCTCCACAAAGCAATGGCAACATGCTTCCCGACCGAGCGCTGATTCGGGTGCCCTTCAGTTGCTAATCAGTTTAGAGTGGGGAAGTCTACAGTCAGGGCAGCGCTTCTGCGAGCGTGCCCGGCAATACATCCCACATTGCTGCATAGAACAGTCACTCTGGGAAATGTGGGTAACATAGTGGCCAATCGATTTTTGTCAAAACTGGGTGTGTTTTTTGACTTTTGTCACATTGCATTGTGAACGCTCTCCGGGTTATGTTGCCAAAAAGGGGGGTTTGGTGACGAAACTTGCCAGTGTAGACAAGCCGTTGGTGACTTTTGCCTCTGCTGTGGCTGAAGGAAATTGCAAAGTGTGACAACAATGGCCTGTTACTTACACCAGGTTTTCATTTGCATATCCAAAACCACTGTCCTAGGATGCAGTGCATGGCTTCACATTATACAGAGACCTATGTCCTGGTCTCCCTTATTCAGCTATCCTGCTGTGACTCCTTTATTATTTGAGCATCACTGTAGCTGGGCAGTAATCCTGAATCTCTGGGATTCTCAAAGATTAGTGAATTCATTTTTCAAACTCGCTGAATCTCAGCTTCTAGCATCTATTTATATCAGTGATTCTTTTAATTAATTAATTAATTAATGTTGGCCCTCATTACAGGCAGCCCCCAACTTGCGATGCAATCCGTTCCTGGGGAAGCGTTGCAAGTCAGGGGCGTCATAAATGCGGGCCGAGGATGTAAGTCGGGGATTTCCGGCCCCTTTTGCACTTACAACCGTTTTTGTAAGTGCGGGAGGTTGTAACTCGGTGGTCGTATGTCGTGGGGCCTCCTGTACAAGTTTCTGATTGATAGCATCGGAAAAGAAAGTCGTCTCTGTAGGCACAGAATGGATGTGATTGCACATCCTGGTGTAAATCAGGAGTGACTCCCTAAATCAGCAAAATTACAGTCCTGTAAAACTATTGTGAGTGGAGAACCTGGTCTAACAAGTTCTTGGTGTTACCATGGCAAATGTGTCTTACCCATACTTTGGGTGGGAACAACTATCTATGCTGTAGTCCTATCTGCACACATATGCTGCTGTGCTGCAAAGCCCAGAGGAAAAAGCGATTTTTTTTAATGTTTTAAAATTCCTGTCAACCAGTTACTATCTCTTGTGTCCCAAGGCATTAATGAGAATGACTATTTGTTTTCACTTAGCGCCTGCGTAGGTGCTTATGGGTTGCCTGCTGTTCTGAAGCTTCCAAATGGCAATTGGGCTTCCTTTTGGTTGGATTTGGGAACAGAGATCCCATGCAGGGGAAAAACAAAACTGGGTATTAGTTGTCTATCAGGAAGTGGTTAAATCATAGCAGTTTCCCCCGGCAAATACAGGACAGACACAGGTCCAGGCCAATCTTATTGCTTAACTATGAAACCAAAGACATTGTTTATTGTCTCATTAAGCAGCTTGCAAATGAACAGTTAGGTTTTTCTTGGTCTCTCCCCCTCCCCACCCTGCTTTCCCAGGTTCCAATATTGTCCTTCCTAAAATCTGCACACACCAAAAATGTTACTTTTCTGTGGGTCACGCTTCAGCGCTGTGCTTGGAAGCGCTAACCACTCCGTGACTGGGGTTGAGTACATCGCATCAGAAAGCAACCCTCACTTAGTGGCAAGGCCGGGATGAGTGAACCGTGGTGAGCCGAGAACTTTTTCCACCAGTGGGGTGGCCTGGCCCATCGTGCTATCTTTAGGTTTACAACCGAGAGGCCTCCATATTAATAACCCGTATATTGCTTTCACAAAGTATGCAGCCCTGCTCTTAAACACTCTCTCCAAGTTCCTGCTGCTATTTTTAGCCTGCTGCTGCTCAGAACACCCTCAAAAGAACCCTTAGGACAGTACTATATTTCTTTTTCTTTCTTCTTTTTGTGCAGGCGCTGAGTAGCAGTCTGTATAAGAGTGCATCTCCCTATGGCTCTCTTAATAACATCGTGGATGGGCTAAGCTCTCTCACCGAGCACTTCTCTGACCTATCCCTCTCCTCAGAAGCCAGAAAACCCAGCAAGAGGCCACCTCCTAACTACCTATGTCACCTCTGCTTTAACAAGGGACATTACATCAAAGACTGTCCACAGGTAAGTGAGATGCGTTGTTCTGAATAATGAGACAATTTCCTGAATGTGAGTCATTAGAATTGGCTGTTTTTTTCCAGAGCAGCTTTGCAGAAATATCTGGACAATTTGCCAGGCTAGGCCTAAGTTCTATTCACCCACCTGTTAGCATGGGGCCTGTCATGGCATTTTATTTGTGTCTTTTCCCCACACCTGCGCTGTGCATAGGTGTTAGAACTAAGGAGTGGGCAGGATTCCCTGGCTTGAAGTGGTTTCCATCATGAAGATGAATTACATTGACTCAAGCGACGAGGAGTCCTGTGGCACCTTATAGACCAACTGAAGTGTAGGAGCATAAGCTTTCGTGGGCAAAGACCCACTTCGTCAGATACATTGACTCAGTGGCTCTCGGCACTCCCACTATGCAAATTGTTCCAGCACCCCTATCTCGGCCACAGTGCATCCTCCCATCTCCACAGAAAACTCCCCTCCCCTCAGTCCCCTGTAAGCTGCCTGGCTGGGCCTCTCTCTGAGCTGCAGCAGGGAGAGATACCCCTCCCCAAGCCTCAGACCTGCCCCTCTGGGGGAAAGGGGCCCCTCCCAGTTGGCCCCAGCACAAAGCTACCATGGCCAGAGCAGCTCTGCACTGGGGTCGTCAGGGAAGCCACCGGCAGCTGCTCCAGCTCTTGGGCAGGGAAGGGGGGCAGAGGCCTCAGGCCTCTGCGTGCTGCCCCCACCCTGAGCACTGGCTCCCTGCTCCCATTGGCCAGTGTTTGCAGGCGAGAGCAGTGCACCACAAAGCCTCATGTGCTCTTCCTAACTCCCCCCCCTCCTCGGGAGCTGGATCTTCTGGTCATTTCCGGGGCACAGCACAGTGTCCCAGGACAGTCGGGCACCAGGCAGCCTACTCAGGTAAACCTGAGCCAAAACTAGGGGTGGAATAGTGCAGTCCATTAACCAATCAACTGATCAGCAAAAACGTATAGACTACATGCATCCCCTCCCCCACTAGTACATTTTGTAGCAGGCTGGCCAGCAGCCCAGCTCAGTGTCTGGTTTGTGCCGGGTGCGGGACCTGCCCCTGCTGTGGCTCTGCATTTAAAGTGTATTAGGAGCCAGGTGGGCAGGCAATCCAGCTCAGTTCCATCTCGCACTGTGTCCGGGAGCTCAGCCCCCACCTTGGACAGGGGCTTCTGCTGCCTCTGATACAGAGGCAGCAGTGCGGAGTGACAGGCAACCAGTGGCTCCCCTTGCGTACCAGCACCTGCCTGGCACTGCACACTGCAGCGAACTGGCTTCTGGCCCCACCCCTGGGGACTATAGAATAGTTGTCTAATGCATAAAAATTCATGAGGTTAATCGACTATTCAATTAACCGATATTTAACATCCCTAGCCTAAACCCACTGTTCCTCCCTAAGCCCCAACCCAAAGCCACCTCCTGTACCTCATACTCCTTATCCTGGGCCCAAGCCCAGAGCCCATATCTCCTCCTGTATCCTAACCTCCAAATCTGAGCCCCTCCCCAAACCTAGAGCCTCCTCTTATCCCACACCCGTTATCCAGACCCCCAGACTGAGCCTCACCCCCTCTTGCAGCCCAATTACCTGCCCCAGCCTGGAGCTTTAACTCTCTCATGCCAGCCCCTCAGCCCCACCCTTGCCACACACAGTGTCTGTGTGCAGAACGACTTTTGTTACATGATGCATCACCTCCATATTGGTGCACACAACAAAAATTGTTCCATACATGGACATAAAAAATTACATAATCTCACTCCAGGCATGTGAGTGGGTAGATTTTGGCAATGGTAAAGGTGGTCACTGAGTAATTTTCCCTTTTGAGGATTGTACTAAATTAATTTTAAAGCCACTCTTTCTTAGCTATTTTGGAAATAACATTTAATCTAAAAACAGAGCATGTAATGGAAGTAGCCAGCACTACACATTATAAAGCAGGGGTGGAGACCCTAAGGCCTGGGAGCTGGAGCTGGCCCTTGGGACTCCAGCTCCTTCTCCCCCCACAATCTTCTAGCCTGGGCCATCCAAGACTCTGGTGTTGCTTCTCACTTGTATGCGGCCCCAGACTGATTTTTTTTCTGTGACTTTCTGTGATTTTTTTCTAATTTTTTTGGACACTGACCCAAAAAAGGTTCCCCACCCCTGCTATAAAGCAAGAGAAAATGTTTTATCAGATGAAAACCTTGAGCCAATGTTGTAGAAACCCAGTCTTCAGGAATCGATGGTGCAAAATATCCTTTGCTTGATGTATAAAGCGTTTATGCTACTTGGCTAGAATTCAGGATGGTTCTTGGCCTAGTAGATTGCTTTTTCAATAGCAAAACTGACCATGTTATTTCCTTAAAGAAGTGGGGTAGGGTAGTTACCAATTTGCATTGCTCCCTTGAAGATGCAAGTCCCAATGTGGCAAGTTTTCCCATCTTCTTGGCATTGCTGAGGCGCACTGGGTTCCTATAGAAATAGAGGAGGTGGTTCAAACTTTCACAGCTCCAACAAGCACTCTTCTCAGAGTCCTGAGGCAAAAAAATGCTGATGACGTTCCAAAAATACAGACGTGCATATTAGTGGCATCCTCTTGACCACAGTTTTTACCTCTTGGCTTCTTCACATGTAAGCTTTGTTCTCTCACTAAAATTGACCACCGTCCACGGTACCTAAAGGAATCAGGCATATAAAAGCTGGAATAGCAGGCAGAAGGAATATATGCCAGTTAAGCAAGATCAGCATGAAGCTGAGTCTGAAGTCAAATGAACTTTACCTGAGTGTATTCCTGTTGCAATTGGTCACAGAGGGGTGAACCAAAGAGGGAGTTATCTCCGTGATGTTTTAGCTGCAAATGTGCCACTTGTTTTAAGGGAAACTGTGGGACAAAACACCCCACACTGCTCTGCAAATGTACTTCAACATATTGCATGTTGTATTGTTCCAGGTACACTTAAGGGAAACTGTGGGACAAAACACCCCACACTGCTCTGCAAATGCACTTCAACACATTGCACGTTGTATTGTTCCAGGTACATGGAATGGAACATTCTGTTCAGGAATGAGAAAAAAGTTCAGAAATGTGTTTTAATTTTCAGGTTAGCGTGTGCTGGTAAGACACCGAGATGCTCCTGTGAGGACATACATTGTTCAGTGCTAGAACAGAAGTGTACTACCTGTAGCTGTGTTAAATACACCAAGTACCGGACTCCAGTGCAATACTGTGAGAGAGAAGTGTGTCTCTGTGTATGTACCAGAGAAATGCATCAGGTTCCCTAGCAATCAGTCCATGTCTGGCAGTGGCTTGTGTAAATTGTCCCCAGTGACTGTATCAGCAACATCTTCAGTGGAGATTTGGAGCTAGTGAAGGAAATTAACTAAAAATAGAAAATCAGTTAATGCAAATTAAAGCCATAACACTAAAACACACCATCTACAAAAGTTAAGGTGCCTACAGCAAGGTGACTGTGTGGTACACCCTGTGCAATTTGTGTATGCCTGTGGGCCCAGATCCTCAAAGGTATTTAGGCATGTAACTCCCATTGAAATACTGTTGAGGATCTGGGCTGTTATGATTTAAGCAATATTATTTTAAGCTATCCATTGAAATAAAACAGGAATAGAAAATATTATTTACAGTATGTGCTCTGTGGCTGAGTTGTACTATTATAATGTGTGTGTGATTGTGTTTGTGAATATGTGTGTGTCTGTGCATCAGGATATACCATGTTTAGGGGGAGGAGGTTTGAAATTAGATCCGTTTGTGTGCAATTTCAAGCATAAACTCTGCTTCAGTAAAGCACTTAACCACAAGCACTTTACTGGGACTTAAGCGGGCAGTTGAATGCTTTTGTTGAATAGTGATGTACTTAAAGCTGTGCTTATAGTTAAGCGCATCCTTAAGAGTTTTATAGAACCAGGGTCTTTATTTTCAAATGCCTGAGTCTGGAATCAGCACCACATGGCTCCATCTGGCACCCCGCTGACTTCAGTGAGACTTGGTGCAAGTTGATAGGTCCAATAGCATGGATCCAATTGCAGGATGGAGCCCATGTTATCAAACCTCTTCCTTTTACCAATCCCTCTAACTGAAACTGATTTTGGTTTTTTAAATTATTCCATATACTGCATAAAAGTTGTAGGGTTTGGTGGTTAATTTCTCCCAGTGTCATAAAAAACAAAAGCTATTTTAATATAGTACAACGATTAAAGCATTATTCCATATTATTTTAAATTATGTTTTAATTCAGACAGGGGAAAGAGAAAAGAATCAGACTTGGACAATATAAAAAAACAGTAAATCACGTGGTTTTATATTCTTTTTCCTTTTTTTATGTAATAAGAAACAGATTTTGTTATGTAGTGTATTATGGAGTTTTTCCTACATAACAAAAACATTACCTCACTTCAGGACTCTTTAATTCTCCCTTATTCTCTGTGTTGCAAACATTATAACACAGTGTTTGCTTTTCCTGCTGCCATGTGAGTTGACGTCATGCCATTCCGACAGAAATATATAAGTCCTTATTTCAGATTACACCTTGCGAGATGACCCAATCTAGAAACCTAAATCACAACATGTAAAATCTGATTTTTCTACACCTAAGATATCTAAAGGTTCTTTGCATTTGAAATGCCATCTCAATGCATTATATCAATTCTGAAGTATGATTTTATAAAACTCTGATTTTTACAAAGGTTTTTGGTGTATCCCCAAAGACTTTTATAAAATCATGGCTACTTGTCATTTTTTTTTTGGTGCAGGTGGAAATAGAGTGATATCCCTTTGAATAGTTTGTGAGCCCTTTAGGTGCTGTGTTTTAGAAGCTCCCATAAATGAGTCAGAGCGGTATTATGGATGCAGCGAGTCATTGTTCGAATTTCCATGACATCCCTGCTGCGAGGGGGCAGCTGGATCGAGTCATTGTTCGAATTTCCATGACATCCTTGCTGCGAGGGGGCAACAGGAGAAACTCTCCCATTGACTTCTCTTACTCCTCGTGACCCAGTAGGGTATTGGAGT